TCTTTATTTCTCAAGATAATTTGGCAATTCAAGGTCTTTTATAGTTCCATATGAATTTTAGATTGCCTTTCTACTTATGTGAACAATGTTGGGATCTTGATGAACATTGCGTTAAACCCTTGTGTCACTTCAAGAGCACATATTATCTCAATGTATGAACGTGGAATCTTTTCCCGTTTATTTGTGTTTTCCTTGGCTTCTTTCATCTGTGTTTTGTAAGTTTCATGGTTAAAGTTATTAGCTATTAAATCCTTTTTGATACTATAACATATTGAATTGCCTTTTCAGATAAGATGTTCTTAACACAAAGAAACATCATTGATTTTTCTGCATTGATTTTGTTACCTAAAATTTTATTCAACTTATTAATTCTAAAAGCTTTTGTGGACTCTTTGGAGTTTTCTATACACAGGATTGTGTCATCTGCAAAAGGGGATAATGTTATTTCTTCATTTCTTTGTGGATGACTTATTTCATTTCTCATGTTTTCTTTCTTTTAAAAAAAGATTTATTTTTAATTATTTGCATATGTGTATGTGTGTCCCTGTAGGTTTGTATGCGTGGGTGCAGTTGCCCTCAAAGGCCAAAAGAAGGAATTAGGACGTCAGATCTCCTGGACCTGGAGTTATATATGATTGTAACCTGCTGGATGTGGGTGCTAGGAACCAAAGCTGGGTGCCCTTAAAGAGCAGTACAGGTTTTTAGCCACTGAGCATCTCTCCAGCCCCTTGTCTGTTTTCTCTTACTAGTGTTTCCAGTGCCCTGTTGTGTAGATATTAGAAGAACTGAAGTCATGCTTCTGCCCAGTTCTCATGGGAGAAGCCCTTCTTCTTCACTGACTGCAGTACTGGCCTCAGGATTTTCAGTTTTCCCTGTGTTAAGAAATTTTCTTTCTGTAGATTTTGTCAAGAATTTTGCTTTTTAAATCATGAGTAGATGTTGAACTTTGTCAAATGCTTTGTATGCATCTATTGAAGTGATCACATGGTCTTAATTTTCTTTTAATATTTATTTTCTGCGGGAATAATTAGCTTGTCAAAGGTAATTCTTACTGTGTGAGGCAGACTGTGGGTGCTCTGTGAGCATGAGCTTATTTTAGGTTAACACTGGTTGCCAAACCAGGAATGGATTGCTGTCACTTAGAATTGTGGCTTCTGTTTATTACTGAGGTGGCTGTGTGTCAAGCCAGCCCTAGAGGAAGCTCCATAGGGTAAGTCAACTTACTGCCTTTCAGATAAGTAGACTGCACCCCCACCCCAGGGGCCCTGGAGGTCACTGAAGAAAGCTGTTGCTGATTGATTAATCTTATCAAAAATTAGTTCTGAGCTGACTTATTATGCCTGTAGGAAGGCTTGCCTTTTCCTAGGCATGTGGGACTTTTGTATATCCCTGTTTTGATTTTTTTTTTTATCAGTCAAGCAGCAGCAGGGAGCAGCAGGAGCTGTCCGGATACCCACCATCGTTGCTCACTCTCCTTAATGATGGAGTTGTGTTTATGGGTCTGCGTGTTGAACAGCATGAGCTCACCCCGCTTTTGTCTATAAAGCATTTGTTGAAACATTTGTTAGGTCAGTTGGCTGTGTAAGTTTAAAATTTGGTAACAACACATCAAACCATGCAATGATTTAGTTAATTAGTTATAAGAAACAAACAAACAAAAAAAACTGGAGGGCAGTCTGGTGGAGTGATCTAGGTCTTTCCAGGTCTGCCCCAGCAATGCCCTCATGCTTCCCCAATGTCAGCTTGCTTGCCTATCATCTTGCTTGGAGAGAAATTGATCTGACTTATCAGTGGTGCTAATCCAGGTTCAGATAAAGAATCCACAATGGCATGGATTTCTTTTTAGCAACAGAAAATCCTAGGCTATGCTTTCATCCTTAAATACCTGAGCAAAGGAATTTAACTTGGTTTCCTGTGTCCTGAGAGGCCTAGGATTAACAGTGTTCTGTATCAGCCAATGTTGGGGGAGAATTTTGAGGACCGCTGAAGTCCAGCATCCCTATAGCATGGATTACTATCCTTGGGACCCTACTCTCTGTGTTTGTTTGTCACAGGGAGGGCCCATCGCTTTAAATTCTTCTCAGAAGACAAAGTCCCTCCCTAAGAGCAGTACAGGAATTAGTCTCCATGGACATCACAGACCTGAATCCCAGAGAGGGAAAGAGAAAAGCATGTGACCTCCATGAAGCAGCCGCACCTATGACATTTGTCTTTGGGTCTCATAATGGTCACCCTTCTATTCCAGGAAGATTTTACCCTCTCCCACCTCTCCGTGCAAGCACATTTTTCATTGTTGTGTTTTATCAATATTGCTACTATTGGTGTAAAATGTCTCTATATCACATTCCAAATTAACCACACAAGCAATGTTTTAGGAGAACCAGATTACTAAATTAGAACTGTCATCATAATTTAGTAACTAGTAAAGCAAAAAATACCATCAGAGGTATCTTCTTAAGTATCCAAAAAGGTGACTAATGGTTCTAAAAGGCCCTTGTTCTCCTGATCTTAGAAGTACTTGCCATGAACACCTGCTTTTTAAGTCTAAGGGTTTTTTTCATGTACCAAATGCTCTAGGGGTTATCTGGAGAACCACAATTCACAATCCCTGTGTTGGCCAGATTTCCATCATTGTGATTACTGCTAGAGGTGATTTATCAGCCTAAAGGAGAAAATGTTTTTCTGGCTCACAGTTAAAGGGGAGTTGTTTGATGCTATCGCTGCCAAGCCAGTGGCTCCTTCTCCTTCTCCATCTCCATCTCCGTCTCTCCGTCTCCCCGTTCTCTGTCTCCATCTCCATCTCCTCCATCTTCATCTTCCTCTTCCTCTTCCTCTTTCTCTTCTCCTTCTTTCTCTCTTTTTCAGATCTGAGGACTCGACTCAGGGCCTTGCAAGCACTCTGCAACTGAGCTAAACCCCAGCCCTCAAGGCTTCTTTTCTTAAAGGTTCCACCACCTCCTAACAGTCCCTCATGCTGATGACAAGCAGTTAAGACCTGGGTCTTTGGTGGCATTCCAGATCCAAAATGTACCACACCCTAATGGGCATGCATTCAATTCCTTGGCCTTTCTGAGTTTTTGAAAATGCTTCTACATCAGCAATTTTTCATCCCAGTGTATTTTTTTTCTGAGACTCTAATTTCAGGTTTGAACCACTTACAAGTAGAAAGAGCAAGCTTTACGCTACTTTTTTTTCTCTATCCCCAGATAATAAGTTTGCTAAAGTCTACTTTTTACATTCTATTTTCTCTTTTAATTTTTACTTTATGTATATGTGTACTTTGCCTACATGTATATCTCTGCATCACATGCATGCATTGTCAGAGGATGCAGAAGAAGGCATCAGATCCCCTAGAAATGAAGTTACAGTGAGCCACAGTGGTGCTAGGAATAGAACCCAGGTCCTCTGGAAGAGCACCTAGTACTCTTAAACACTGAGCCATCTCTCCACCTCCCATAAAAATCTACTTTTACAAATGTCCTTTTACTTTGTCTTTATTGCTTTTGAAATTCTAGGTCATCTTATTTCTATTACTCTCCCAGAACTATTCAAATAATTATAGGAATGAGGTCTAGTTCATGGATACATCAGACTCAAGTGGATAAACTGGATTGAAAACCAGATCCAGGCCCTGCGTCTAAGAAATGAAAGACTCTGTATTTTCCAAATACTTAATGCCAGCCTGTTTGACTGCCTAAATCCCATTACATTTTTATCAAGAAAAAATTTATTTTAAGTTATCATATTTTCATCTGTTCATTTTTCCATGCAAAATAATATTTATTGAAGGGTATTAAACATTACTTCCTTTACAATAATGTATTATTTCGGTTCTCAAAATATATTACAAAAGTAAGTTCTTAGGGCTGGAGAGATAGCTCAGTGTGTACGAGTGCATACTGCTGTTACAGAGGACCCAAGTTTGATTCCCAGCACCCCCTTCAGGTGCCTCACTACTACCTGTCCCTCTAGTTCCAGGGGAGCTGATGTCTCTGTCTTTAGTCGGCACTGCACTCATGTGTATGTATCCTTACACACATGCACTTCTTTTTTAAGTAAGTCCTTCTCTTTGATTATTTTTACTATACAAATAGTGGGATTAAGTCTAGGATTCAAGTCCAAATTTGTTCAATTTTGAAGTTAATTTTTTGTTTTTCGAGACTGGGTTTCTCTGGTAGCCTTGGCTGTCCTGGACTTGCTTTGTAGACCAGGCTGGCCTCAAACTCACAGAGGTCCACCTGGCTCTGGCTCCCAAGTGCTGGAATTACAGGCGTGTGCCATGGTACCCATCTTAAATAATTTTTAAAAATATATTATTACTAAAGATCAGCTGGGTCATCTCAGTGGATAAAGCACTTGTCTACAAGCTTGGGAACTAGAGTTTGATCCCCAGAATTCACATTAAAGCCAGGCAAACTTTTATGATGCCTTCTGGGATGCCTTTTAGTAATCCCAGAATTCTGGAAAAGAGACAAGAGACCTCCTATGTAAGCTGGATAACTGGACTAGTAAAAATTGGTGTGCTCTGTGTTTGTTGAGGGGCCCTGCTTCAATAACCAAGTGGAAAGTGGAAAGAAGACACCTGATAATCAACTTCAGGTCTTTACATGCAAGCACACACACACACGTGAAAACATACATGCGTGCACATTACAGATAGACAGACGGATAGATATCAACAAAGGTTGTCCTCTGCGTATGAGTAATGTTGTTGTTGAATCATGCAACTATTCTGCGCCCCCTGAACTAAGAGGCCACAGGTAACCAGATTTGGCTGGTTCTTTTCCTTCCCACTGCTAGGCAAGTGCCTTTGGTTTTCTCTTTAGTTCTGGGATAGAACCTAAGGTCTGGCTTCACTCCAGGCAAGTATTCTGCCACCAAGCCACATGTCAGTCCTCAGTCCTTCCCTCTGCTGCTTGCTATTGTCTCATCATCTTTTGTGGCTGTCACATCACACATGCAAGCTCCTCCATGCATTCTACACAACAGACACAAGAATATACTGTAGACAACTATGTGTCTATCTCCACAGACTGAACATGAGTAGGCCAGGAGATCATATATCTTTAGCAGTGTTCCAACATGCTACAGAACAGTGTTTCAGGTCTCTGCACTGGAACACAGACACATTTTTACTTTTTCATGGTTCGCCTCTGTCTGCTAGGCAGTGGCCTGGAAGTCTGGCTTTTTGACAGTTGAGTGACACTATTGCACCACTGGGGATATATGGCCATGGTTGTCGTGGTTCATAGGCATCACAGCTGGGTAGGACAACTGATTGCTTTTCTCCCTTGGCAGCTGGCATAGCACCTTCAGATACCCTGAGGGCTGGTCCTGGGGGAGAAGACTTCCAGGTCAGTTCCGGCTCCATTCTTCCCAGTCCTGCATCTTAAATGTGTGGCATCTTCAGCAGTGAGTCCCGAGGCAACCAGGGACGGCAGTGATAGCGTTAGTCTCTTGGACTCCCCTGACCAACAATTCAAAGGGAGGTTTCCCTTGTTTGGCTATGGCTCTTGGAGGAGTTATTATATAATATGGATGTTAAGGTAAATATGAGGTAATATGTTTACCCATGGCTTCTTCCAGACCCTCTGTATTCCTTCCTTCTCCTTCCTTAGTTAACTCCCCCCCCCACTTTTTTTTATTTTCTCCTTCACAGCACCTGTGTTCTACTGTATCCTTCACTAAAGCTCCTCCACTTCCTATGTCGCTTTTTCACTTGCCTGGTTTGCATGGTTACTCCAGGTTATCTACTTACACCTAAAGATTCAGAATCAGAATCCAAACTTAAGAGAGAATATGTTGCATGTGTCTTTCTGGGTCCAGGCCACCTCACTTACCAAGACTGCTTTTCTTTTCTTTTCATTAATTAATTAATGTATTTATTTACTTTAGATCCCAATCACAGCTTCCCCTCCCTCCTTTCCTCCCAGTTCCTCCCTCTCCCCTCGCCTCATATGCCCCCCTTCCCTTTTCTTCAGAGGAAAAGAAGGGGGGACTTCCCATGGCTATCCTCCCACCTTGGCATAGCAAGTTGTAGTAGGGCTAGGCACATCGTCTTCTCTTGAGGCTAGAGAAGGCCACCCAGTTAGGGGAAAGGGATCCAAAGGCAGAGGCAGAGGCAGCGCCTACTCCTGCTGTTAGAGGTTCCACATAAGGACCAAGCTGTAGATCTGTTACATATGTGTAGGGGACCTAGGTCCTCCCATGCATGCTCTCTGGTCGGTGGTTCAGCCTCTGTGAACACCTATGGGCCTAGGCTAGTTGATTCTGTAGGTTTTCTTGTGGTGTCCTTGATCTCTCTGGCTCTTTCAATCCTTCCTCCCCATCATCTTCCACAAGATTCCCTGAGCTCCTCTTGATGTTTGGATATGGGTCTCTGCATCTGTTTCCATCAGCTGCTGGGTGAAGCCTCTCAGATGACATTTATGCTGGCTCCTGTCTGCAAGTAGAGCAGAATATTATTAGTAGTGTCAGGGGCAGGTTCTCTCTCATGGTATGGGACTCAAATTGGACCAGTTATTGGTTTACCATTCCCTCACTTTCTGCTCCCTCTTTATCCCTGCACATCTTATAGGCAGAAAACTTATGGGTCAAAGGTTTTGTGGGTGGGTGGGTTTCCCTCTACTGGAAATCTTGCTTGATTACAGGAGGTGACCATATCCCCTGTTGCTAGGAGTCTTAGCTAAGATCACCCTCACAGAGTCCTGGGAGTTTCCATTGTCCTAGATTTCTAGCTTGCTCCAGAGATGTGCCCACCACTGATTGCAGTTCTCTCTGCCAGTTCCCTTTCCAGCCATCCTTCCTGAACTTGAACCCTCCTGTTCCCCTCTCCACCCCATCTTCCACCCAGATCCCTCCATCCAGCCACCTCAGATGTCTATTTTATTTCCCTTTCTCAGTGAGATTCAAACATCTTCCCTTGGGCCCTACGTGTTACTTGGCTTCTTTGGGTCTGTGGTTGTAGCGTGGTTATCCTGGTACTTTATGGCTAATATCCACTTATAAGTGAGGACATAGCATGTTTGTCTTTCTGGGTCTGGGTTACCTCACTCAGGATGATCTTTTCTAGTTCCATCCATTTGCCTGCAAATTTCATGATATCGTTGTTTTTAATAGCTGAGTAATAATCCATTGCATAAGTGTTCCATATTTAATTTATCCATTCTTCAGCTGAGGGACATCTAGGTTGTTTCCAGTTTCTGACTATTACAAATAAAGCTGCGGTGAACGTAGGTGAGCAAGTGATTGTTTTGTTAACACGCATTATTAAGTCATTTGGCTTTGACACTTAAGAGTGCATTCTGCCACGTAATAGTTATAATTAATGTTACTTGTAGTAAGAGGTCCAGTGTACACTAGAGCCCTGATAATGATTAGCCCAGACACCTCTGCACAGCCACCCAAGGGGGCATCACTGCACTGGGTCATTTGTTAGAGAACCACACCTCTGCCTGCTTTCCCTCCTCCACAGTGAATCTGTGCTGATGACATGCTACACACTTGCACCGCCCACTGCTGCGTGTGATGCACACACATTTTCTCATGGGCAACACTAGAAATACCATGCAGAATATGCTCCTGTGTGTGTGTGTGTGTGCATACGTGTGCTTTTTCCTTCCTTGGGTGCCCTGGTGTGAGATTATTCATGCCTGTGTTTTTGTGGGTGTAATTAACCTTCTCAGGTTGGGGTTTTCCTTCTACTATCTTCTGTAGGGCTGGACTTGTGGATAGATATTTTTTAAATTTGACTTTATCATGGAATATCTTGTTCTCATCTATGGTGATTAAATTTTTTTTGCTGAGTATAGTAGTCTGGGTTGGCATCCGTGGTCCCTTAGAGTCTGCAGCACATCTGTTTAAGCCCTCCTGGCTTTTAGAATCTCCATTGAGAAATCAGGTGTGATTCTAATAGGTCTGCCTTAATATGTTACTTGGCCTTTTTCTCTTGCAGCTTTGAATATTCTTTCTTTGTTTTATGTGTTTAGCATTTTGATTATTATCTGACAGGGGGACTTCCTTTTCTGGTCCAATCTGTTTGGTGCTCTGTAAGCTTCTTGTATCTTTATAGGCATATCCTTCTTTAGGTTAGGAAATTTTTCTTCTATGATATTGTTAAAAAATATTTTCTGGACCTTTAAGCTGGGAATCTTTTCCTTTAGGTTTGGTCTTTTCATGGTGTACCAGATTTCCCAGATGCTTGTGTCAGGGATTTTTGAGATTTAACATTTTCTTTAACTGATATATCATGTCATTTTCTTTGACCAGTGTATCGATTTCTTCAATCGTATCTTCTATGCCTGAGATTCTGTTGGTGATACTGTTGTAGATCTTGCTTGCTTACCTCCATTTTCCAATTCCAAAATTTCCTCAATTTGTCTTTTTCTTATTGCTTCTATTTCCATTTTCAGGTCTTGAGCAGTTTTATTCATTTACTTCAACTGTTTGTTTGTGGCTTTCTTGACGCTCTTGAAAGGATTTATTGACTTCCTCCACTTTTTCGATTGTCTTTTCCTCTATTTCTTTGAGGGGTTTTTTATTTCCTTTTTAAGGATTTCTGTCATTTTCATAAAGTTAGTGTTAAGGTTATTTTCTTGTCTTTCAGCTGTGTTGGAATATCCAGAGCTTGCTGTCACAGAATAGCTGAGCTCTGTGGTAACACATTGCCTTGGCTGTTGTTGACTGCACTCTTAAACTGGTGTTTAGGCATCTGGATTTGGAGTGATTATTGATCAAGATGCCAATTTCTGGGTTTGTCCTTATTGAATGGGTGTTTTCTTCCTTGGTTTCTGTTTCTCTCTGGTCTTCTGGCTGGAGTGGCCTGGGGTTGAGTGTTGGCCTGCCCTCTCTAGATTGCCTTCTCAACATAAAGGTAGAGATATGGACAGCTGCTTTGAGAGACTCCACTTTTCATGTGGCTACTTGTGTATTTTATCAGCTGTACTGTGCTGTTATTGGTGGGTTCTGATGGATGACTTCCTAGTAACTAATCTACATAGTTTATGATCCTTATGAATAAAGGTACACCAACCAAACGTGCGGGTGCTGAAACTTTCTTCCTGAGGGTTTCCTCGTGCTTGTGTTTTGGGAAGTATTATAGTGGTGATGGTGCTGTGTGCCAGATGGAACCACTGGGACCCTCCAAAAGACCAAAGAAGGGTGCTTCCTTCAACTGTGTATTTTAAAATGCCTTATTTGGAATCAGAAAAAAAAATGTTTTTTCATTTGCATGGAGAAAAGTCGTATTAATAGATCATTAAGTATATCACACACACTCCTGGGCAAGCCCTATGCCCTGCCAAGAGTAGTTGGCCAAGACAAAAAACAAACAAACAAACTCCATGTTTCTTTGTTTGTGGACTTTTCGTTTAGTTTAGTTTTTGTTTTTGTTTTGTCCTACTGGTTTTTGCCTTTTTGTTCTGTTGTTCGCTTTTGTGTTTTGTGTGTTTCTTTCTTTTTGAAAGAGAAAGAGAGCAAAAAGTTGGGTGGGTAGGGAGTTGGGGAGGCTCTGAGAGGAACTGGGAGAGGGAAAGACATGATCAGAATTTTTAAAATATTCCCAAAGAAGGAAAAAAGAGAAAACTTAGTTATAAGTTTCTTCTAAGATGCCCGGGGGTTCTCTCTGCACAGAAGCACATGGTGGGTAAGATAAAGTAAGCACATTTTAAAATCCCATAATGTTAATTATGCTTTTGAATAATCTGTGCTTACTCCTGGAATGAAGATGCATATTCATATATGTGTTTTGGGTTTCCATCAAGTATATATTATGAAAAGTCAAACTGAGTACAGAATCCACTTCAACTTGACAGAATGTGAGGCATAGAGTCCCACCTTCAGCCTTTAGCCTAGACAGTCCTGCCCACCATGCAGCCCCCATTTCTCCAGCTGCATCCTGAAACCCCAGGAAGAGCTCCAGGCCTCAGGGCCCTTTCCTGGACACACATCTCTCTGAGCCTGTTCCCCTACCCTCTTACTGTGTGCTGCTAACTCCAGCTTCAGGATCCAGCAGAAATCTATCTCCTCCCAGTGGCTTGTGTGGCCATTTGCTCATATGAACCACTGTTTCTCAATAGCACAAGGTTTCTCTGTCCCTGCCCTTGTCATTTAAACAAGGGAAAGGCCTTGTCTTGTTTACCTCTTTGTCTCTTACCTAAGGGCTGGCTTTAGGTGACAAATACTTGGTAAACATTTGTTTGCAAAATTGAATTTTTCCATCTCTGTTTCCTGTCCTAGTCTTCCTTCATGTAAAGTTCTACTTTTTAAAAGTCAGATTAGATGTCTTGCAGCAATTTTTTAAATAGAAGCTTTTGATTTTTTTGTAGAGGGAGATGGCCAATGTCAAGTCTTCCCACACAGCTAATGCCCCAAACCATCAACGTTGTTCCGCAGGAAGCCATTCTGTGCCTCATTGCCTTGCTGAAAATATAACAGCATTGTCGGAGCCTGACTCAGCTTGAATGCCATTAAAGAGTAATGAAGGGAAGAGTTACATAAAAGGTCCAAGTTATTACTGTAAATGCATTCAAAAGATCACTCTAGTGCTGAATTATCTTATGAGCATTCTGAGCTCCACTGTAACAAGATTTTGTCTTTCCTTCTGACTTTTTAAATACAAATGTATTGTGAATTACCTAAGTTGTGCTTTAAAATGGCGTGTGCCTGACTCTTGTTCTTACCAGATACCTGTGAGAAGGTTTGAAAGGGGCTGAGATCCTATGAGTAGGGGCTTCCAGGCAGTTCTGGAGTGAATGATCATAGGACTGAACTTCAAGTACACAGATTGTGAGATTGTCCCTGTAGGTAACATATGTTCAGAGTGCTTACTAACCCTGAACTGTATTAGCCAGCTGATTATGTGTGTGATCTCCCAAAAGACTCTGAATACTTTAGGGACAAAACCAGGAGCCAGAAGCTGGTTATTCTGTGTCTCATACAAATATGAACCAGGCACAGGAAATTTTAGATTGCTTAAAGTTAACTAGAAGTTTAAAATGTTTCTGAGGACTGGAAAGGTGGCTCAGTGGTTAAGAACACTGGAGTTTAGTTCTTAGCACCCACCCCAATCAGCTCACAAGCTGCTTTTAACTCTCGCTCCAGGGGATTCGATGGCCCCTTCTGACACACATAAACATAAAAAACACATAAACAAAAAATGAAGATAAATTTTTTATATAGGCTTTTGATTCTGAAGTCATGGTTTAAGAAGCTTCAGCAGGGAGCAGTGCTGGTGACATTAGTGAGAACAGACCAGAACAATCTTAGGAGTGCCTGCTCAGCGCTGGTGTCTCTGTACTTGCAGGAAAGCATCAATGGTTTGCTAGTCCACATTTTCCGAAGTTACTTTTAGGAGAGAGGGCTAACAAAATGTTGAAAAGCTGTCAGTAGTGAAGGTCTGTTAGAAACAAAGCAAAACAAAACTTTAAGGTTGTCTCATGTGCC